GAGAACTGGCAGAATGTTTACAAGGAAAGATGTCCTAACGAATGATATGATAGATTTCATGAAATCCTTCAATATTATATTGAGGTATGTTTTCCACTCAAACAGACAAAAAAAACAAAGAAAGTCAACTCCAACCCCCCCTACCCCCGAACTCTATAACCTCAAGAACATGGTTTCTCTATATTCAGAATGCGCGAGAGTAAACGAAAATTTTAAGGATATTTGTCACCAAGTAACTATAACATTCAGGGATAAACTAAAGCAGAATAATCAAAGATGCATTGAGCATAAGATAAATAGTTTTCACAATAAATCAAAAATCATGTGACAAACTATAAATAATATCCAGAAAAAAAACTATAAGCCCAAAGATATTTTCATTTTTAGTGAAGAACATAAGGTGTCATAGACATGGCTAACAATTTTAATGCTCATTTCACGAAAGCGGAAGAACAAGGAGAATATGACCTATATTTTATGGAAAATATAGTCACACTCTGCCCAAACGCCATATTTCTCCACCTAATCAAGGAATATGAGGTTTTTGATTTGATAAATGAATTGAAGAATTCTAATGCTAGCGGATATGATCAGGTCTCAAACAATCTTCTGAAACAATGCATGGAAGAAATAGTCTACCCTCTGACCTATCTGATAAATCTGTCTATGAAACGAGGAATGTTCCCTGAGAAATTAAAAGTTGCAATCGTTACCCCAATCTTCAAAAAAGGAGACTCAAATAGCTATGAGAACTATAGAGGGGTAAGTCTTCTCTCCAGTAAATTCAAATTATACGAAATTAATATTAAAAAAATCAGTCACTGTCGTTTCTCCTCAAAAATGAATTACTTTCGGCAAACCAGCATGGTTTCATGCAGAATAAAAGCACGGAAACAGCTTTGTATTATGTCATAGAACACATAGTAACAGCGTTGGATAACAAACTACAAATTTGTGGTTCGTTCATCAATTTTTCTAGAGCATTTGACTATGTGAATCACTATGTACTTATCCAGAAAATGCATCGCTATGGGGTTCGTGGAGTTGCCCAAGATTGGATGAGGTCCTATCTAGAGAACAGGTCAAAAACAGTGATAATTCAAGGTGTTCACAGTCAGTCCTTGGCCTGCAAGCAAGGAGTTCCACAGGGGTCTATACTCGGACCACTGCTTTTTCTTATTTATGCGAACGACTTGATACAATACCTAAATAGTCTTTCAAAGGTACATATAGTTGCATATGCAGACGATACAAATGTTCTGGTCACTGATTGTAATACATAAGCACTTGCAAAATCAACAGAATCCATATATGAGAAAATAATGGAATGGGCTGATAAAAATCATTTAGCACTAATCAGCAAAACAGCATTAGTCAAATTCTCATTGCAGAACACCACAGAAACTCTTAAAATATATGAAGATAGCCAACTAGAGGTGACATCCAAACCAGAAACAAAAATGCTAGGACTAACTCTAGATCATAAGCTCAATTGGGGCCTCATATAGATTCACTATGTGATAAACTACGAAAGAACTGTTATGCACTGAGATTCATGTCGAATCATTGTGGAAGAGGGGTTCTCCTAAATCTGTATTATGCAACTATTGGCTGTCACTTGCGCTATGGGATCTTGAATTGGGGTATGAGCTCCTCTGATGAACGAGTATTTATTTTACAAAAGCGCGCGATCAGAATAATTGCTAGTTTGGGATGGCGACACTCATCTAGAAGCTCATTCAAAGAGCTGGAAATACTCACAGTTCATAAGAATAAAGAAAAATTTTGCGCAAACCAGCAATACCACCCATACGCAACTAGTGCTAGTGCTCTAATATGCAGATCAAATTTCAGATTGTCATCAATGAATATTCCTAGGAATTTTGTAGTATTTTTGTTTTCTAAAGTTTGTCCATTTAGGCTCAACTCATCATAGAAGGTGCTAAAGATAAGTACAGTCGATTTATTTGTATTGAAACATAAGTAATTGGAATCACAGCGTTTTTTTACCATTTCAAGATCACTAGTGATAGATATTCCAATTGCTGAGCTTTTTTCATGCCAGAGGATGATAGTGTCTTCTGCAAAAAGTGAAAATGTATGGAGACCTCATACTTTACAGGGGTGAATAAGAAAGTTTGCCTTTTCACACCTGTATGAAGTTCTGCATTACATTTTTATATTTTTTCAGTACGTGAAAGATGAAAATACCAAAGGAGGGGCGATGGACAATTCTGATTTCCTCTACAAAAAAGATTTTTGGTAGGATTCATTATCCTGTTGGCTGAAAAATAACAAATTGCCAAACATGCCCCAAACTAACTGACTATTATAAGAAAACAAGTATATCTGAGGCACCAGTCAATCTAACAATGACACTGATTATCTTCAAATTTGACTCAACCTCTGACGGATGCACCAAATTCTTATGAAAGTTCGAAATAGATGAACATCTCAATCTAATCTATTATAATCTTCATGCAGTCATTGTTCACTGTGGTTCTGGCAATGAATCAGGTCATTATTACGCACTGGTCAAAAACGAAACGGACTGGTTTAAGTTTGACGATAGTCGTGTCACTAAGTGTTCTGGCGATGTTCTGAATTTATTGGAACCTTCGGAGACACCCTACATTTTGTTTCATGAAAGAGAGGACATTGGCGGATCAAGATCTTCAGATGATGTGGTGCTGCAGGTTTTCCCGGGTTTTTCTCCAGCTGCAAAAGCAAATGCGCCACTGGAATCAATGAAGCCGCCCCGGAGCGCCAATTGATATTTGTTGTTTCATAATTTATTGATTTGTATTACTTTTTTCTTCAATAAAACAAATACTTTCTGTTTATAAATTCAATTGTTATATTTAGAAATGTTAGACTAGAAAGATATCAAGAACAACTTGTAAAACTGAAACAGAAAATAGGATTTGGTGTCAAATAGGATCCAAATATTATATTTACCTTAGGTTCTTTCATGAAAAGACACCTGCTAACAGCTTCAGCATGCTGGTCTTTAACCCTCACAGAAAATGGAAGCCTATTCTCTCTAAATGCCCTGAAGGAGAACGAAAGCTGTTCTCCACTCTTGGTTATCGGTACCAAATTTCCAGCAAATTCGACGTATTGTTGTTTTCCTTCGAGTACTTCTACGTCTCTGCTTTTTGCTACCTCCGTGAAGTGTTCTTGATGTTCAAGAGTCTTATCCTCTTTGTCGTCAGTCATACAAAATACCCTCAATCTTGCATCCAGAGGATCGACTCGTTTTGCAAATACCACGAATTTTGCCATGAACGGGACATGTATCGCCTCCCTGGATAAACAAAAAAATTAGTTGCTTCATCTATAGATACATGATTCATATATGATTCATGTATAGAACAGAAGATATAGAAATATACAAAATAATTTATTTAAGTGGAAAGTGTCGATTATACAGTGCATTTTTTTAATGTTCCCCCCCTTTTCATTCATTGAATGGGTCAATTCAAAAAATTGAAATTCGAAATAATGAAATCATTGCATGAATACTTCATTTTGAAGTGGAATTGACAGATGAATCTTTCGAGATGGTGACTGGGCGCTATCTGGGAAAAATTTTTAATGAAAAATGGGTTTTATGATACCTCATGTCGAAAATTCTGACGAACATTTCACAACCCTGAAATATGAAGTCAACATCTTCAGCTACTATGAAATGCGTAACATTTAATAATTTCCTGAAGGCAAACACATTAATATCGATATTTCTAGAAATATTCTTTTTTATCTACCATATGGCAATTTCAACAACCCGATGAGGTTTGTTAAGTTATTTTCTGTTTAAAAAAAAGGTGAAAAAATGTCAGTACGACAATGAACAACACTTTTTCCGGGAAACACATACCCAACATCCAAACAAATAAGAAACTATTTGGATACTATTTTTACCAGTCGTTGGATTGGCCGTCGAGGTCCTACGGAATGGCCAGCCCGCTCGCCAGATTTGACACCTTCAGACTTTTCGTTATATGACTACTTGAAGTAAAAGGTGAACGAAAGTGAACTTGCTTCAATATTGGATATTGTTACTGTTACTGTGTTCGAAAATGTTCGGCGTGAAATATCGGATATGCTGATCATGTTCATATGTCAAGAAGTTAAGGCAACCATTTCGAGCATCTTCTGAACTGACCTCGAGCGTATTACCTCATATTATGTAGTTAAATGTCAATGTATTCAGGCAATTATTGAAAGTTCCATTCCATAGTAGTTGAAGATATTGACATTATATTATAGAGTTGTGAAGCATTTATCAGGAGCTTCAAAATGATGTGTCACAAGACCCCCTTTCCATTTAATTTTTTTTCCAGATGGCGCCCAGTCGCCATCTCAAAAGTTTCACCTCAAAATAAAGTATCCATGCATTCATTTCACTATCCCAAATTTCAATTTTTTTTCAGTTGACCCGTTCAAAAAATTCATATTTTCAAATGTTAGAGAAATCAGAATTTTCAATAATATTGTGTGGTTCCTAAGTTTTATTTTATCAAAAAAACTTGACTCCTTGAATCAAAAAGTATAATCGAAGTACTGAACGATTTAGAATAGCGTTTGAAATATTGAAACATTTCAAAGGACTTACGAAAATTTCTGGTATGAATGATTTTATATTCTGCAAAAACTCATAGACTATTAAGGAAATCTGAACACTGACAAAAATATTTGAAGAGAAAGAAACGCTGGTGTTACCCAGGGATATATATTGTCTTCAACCCTATTTTTTTGTATGACAACGACTTATTGGAAAAAAACAAGAATCCAATATATTGATTTGCTGACGACAGGGCATCATCTGCGGATGCACATCTTCACCGGCAGCAGGAGGTTCAACATCTTGATGAGGATCTAGAAGTAATTTCGAATATGGGTGAAAATTATCAGGTTCCATTTAATGCCACAAAAACCTAGGCATCGGTTTTCTCCAAATAGATAAATGTTTCCGAACCGGATATAATAATGTCAGGTTATACAACTCCACTTCTTCTTCGATAAGGTTGTTGGGGGTTAAAATGGACACCGATATATCTTGGCCCACTCATGTCGTTGTAATTGCTTCTCAAAAGCTTGGAACACTGTTCCTAACCAGAAAACTATACACACCTTAGCAACTTCTGATGCTTCATAAAGTNAATTCAATATTTTTTGAAGTATGAGGCTACAGAAGTGCTAGATATAGTAATACAGCACTCTTGAAGTGATATTTTATCGATTAATATATGGGATGAAAGTTCATGAATGTTTTTTATTTTTTTATATTCTTTTTCAAGTGAAAAATTTGTATCAAAGAAATGAGGGTGAAGTTTTTATTCCAAGATATGTCAGTTATCAATCACGATTGTAATTTTTCACGACATTTGTTAACGAACTGATTGAAAACAGTAGTTTAATAGTTTTCATACATCAGGACTGCAACCCTCTTCTCGAAGTGTGTTTCACCAACCAAGTTGTCGTCATTATTTCAATTTCTTACTTCTATCTTCGTCAGTTCATATCTAACATGGTTAACTTCTATTTTTATGTTCTGAATCGCAAGCCCAACCTGAATTTTAGGGAAGTCATAAATGTATGACTTTCAGAGATCAGAGATTCAGAAATCAATGATGGTTCACGTGAAAATCTTGGGAAGGTGAAACAAATGAAAATATCAAACCAAAATTAATATACTGCAAAATTCTTACTTGAAGTTCAATAAATCTTTACATGACATCAAAAGGCTTGCCTAGACTATCAAAGCACTTGGGTGAATGATATTTATACACTCAGGTATTCATCCGACAGAGTTCTGATGAGTTATTTGAAACATAAAGTGGCTTCAGATTACCATAAATTTAATTAATTTCGATTTTGATAAATTAACCAACTGACACGTGACCTGAATCAGCAACACACCCATGAAACTTATCAAAATAGCGGTAAATATTACTGGAGTTTTTCCCAACACCAAACCGTTATTTTAACACATCGGCACGTGTTTCGATCACCAAGTAATTATCTTCAAGAAGAAGATCAAACTAACTAACAGTTAGTTTGATTTTCTTCTTGCAGATCAAACTAAGTAACAGTTAGTTTGATCTGCCTCTTGAAGATTATCACTTGGTGATCGAAACACGTGCCGAGTTGTTAAAATAACGGTTTGGTGTTGTAACAAAACTTCAGTGATATTCATCACTTCACCAAAAGTTCCAAACAGTGCATCACAAGATAGCGGTAATCGATTTATTCTACCTACTTGTATAATTCGGTCGCCATTTTTGTAGCATCGCCGATATTTCGACAGTCCATTAACCAAAATCTTGCCGAAACTGTCGTTGTGAAAGACACTTGATTACTTCCTTCCTTTCTTTGGAAGATTCCCTCATCCTTGTTTTTTATATCAAGATGGAGTAGTGGAAAGCCAAAAACTTTCTTTCCCAAAAATTAATGACTCCTAAAAATATAACCCCTTCAATTCAAATAAACGGATATCTTGTTGAAGCTACATCTGTCAAATCAGTTGTGATTATTCAACAACACGTGCTAATAATGAAATTATTTTATCATAATCCTTTTATGGTCATCACAATCGTCCTACCGAGGAGATTATTCGCAATACTGTGGACAAATTTGAGTCCACTGGTTCAGTAAACGATCGACCAATACCCGTAGGTCGACGAAACGCAAGATCTGCCGAAAACATCGCCGCTGTGTGTGAGAGTGTGCAGGAGAATTCGACGCGGTCGATTTCGCGTCGCTCACAAAAACTTGGCCTTTCGGAGATCACAACTTGGCGAATAATGCGTCGTAACTTTGGCCTGCACCAGTACAAAATTTAACTGATCCAGGAACCGGAGGAAAACGACGTGTGTTCGCTGAATGGACTCTGGAGCAGATGGCGACTGATCCTAATTCTACTCGAAAAATCATCTTCAGCGATGAGGCCCATTTCTGAATGAATGGATACGTGAACAAACAAAATTGTCCAATTTGGGACGATACCAATCCACATGATATCTAAGAGCGTCCAATGCATTCCATAAAAGTCACTGTTTGGTATAGATTTTGGGCTGACGGCGTCATTGGTCTATATTTCTCTGAGAACGACGTTGGCCAGGCCATCACTGTCAATGACGAGCACTATAGGTTGTTTCATCAACTACTTTTTTTTGGCCTAAATTGGTCTCAACTTCAGCGATAAGGCTCATTTCTGGATGAATGAATACGTGAACAAACAAAATTATCAAATTTGGGACGATTTCAATCCACATGAGATCCAATAGCGTCCAATGCATTCCATAAAAGTCACTGTTTGGTATAGATATTGGGCTGAAGGCATCACTGGTCCATATTTCTTTGAGAACGACGTTGGCCAGGCCATCACTGTCAACGGCAGGACCTATAGGTCAATCAACTTCTTTTGGCCTGAATTGGATGATGTGGTTTCAGAATGACGGTGCTACACAGCTCATGCCACATTGCCGTTAGACTTTCTCTTGTGGAGTTTTCTGAAGTCGCAGGTGTATGTGAATGAGCCACATATCACAGCGATCCTCAAGTCAACATATCCATCCCTTGCCATTGGTCAAATTCAGCCTAATATATGCGCCAGAGTGGTGAAAAATTGGACGTTTCGAATGCGCTCCACCCAGAAAAGCAGTGGCCGACATTTGATAGCAGGGGAGCCCACGATGCAAAATGGGGATTTACTCGAGCGTTATTGAGACATATTAGGGTTGCAAAGCTTAGATGATGAGGAAAAAAAAATTTGTATAATATAAACCTTTTCGTCGGTGGGGGAAGCGGCTATAGATTTTCAAATATGTAAAAAAATACTGCTGAATGGACATACTCGAGCGCGTCAGATATTGATAGCATCAATGTCCTACGTATTTTTGATAATGTTGGTATGTTAATCTGATCTTTTGCATGATGTGGGTGGTTGTACGTAAGGGTTGAAAGTGAAAAGTATACAACTCCCTAGTTCGAAACTTATTTTCTGATATTTCAGGCCTATATTCTTCCAGACCATCATTAGGATAAAACACCACTCAATTATTGCCAGCTAATGCTCTGGAATCCAGATGAAAAGAACAGACAAGTGTGCTGTCACTGTCAACCAAGCAAAATATTAGATTTTTGATTCGTTTTAATAAATCGCTGGTGTAAAGTAATGAAACATTTGCAGATAACCTCAAAGTTGAAGGTATCCGAAAGAGAACTATCGATGAACGGAACGTTCTTTGGATAATCTAGTGAGATATGAACAAAGATGATCTGACAAGCCATAACAAAAAAAATTTGCCGTATTTGTGAACCACTATAAAATATTTTTATATTAGTTCAATGATGCATGAAATGTTGCCATTTGAACCAGTGTTACGGTGAACAAAACGGTGAACAAAAATCAAGATTTCCTTATATTCAATTTCAGTTGCCTCAAACTTTGGTGGAATATATATGAATTTCAGTTTGATTCACGGTGTATACTCATGAAAAAAGGATAACAAAGCTGTTTCTGTTCAAATAACTGAAACGATGTTTGTATTCACAACAAGATAACTCTGGGAGACTAAATAATTAAATGTATATAACTGTTATTTACAATATTTCTCACCTCAACATGCTCTGTGCCTGTTTGGCGACGCTATCGGGGTATTCCGATTTGATCACGTTTATTTCTGAGGTGGTAAGTCCCAGTTGATTGGCCAGTGGAACCCAATCTTCGCCAAGAAGATTGCTCATATCCGCCAGCCTAGGATCGGGTCGATAGTAGTCGAAATTCTCCGAAAGGAAGGTGTACTTCCTTAAAGAATCTGTGTCGGTTAATGATATCGTATCTGTCACTATGTCATCTGGTAGTACAATATTGAGGATACATATAGGTTGTTGAGGAGGTTCGCCTTTTGGTACCTGAAAATAATATATTAAATGAATAAATAAGACACTGATATTTTGGAGAATCGAGGTTCTCATTTTCTACTTCGAAATGTTTTCTTTGAAAACTTAATGGAACATGAAATATAATCGGTGTTCCGAAATTAGTCGCCAACGATTAGTTGCGCGAAAGAAAAATCGCGTAGAGAAACATAAGCACGAATTAGGTTTTTTCAAATGTTTTGTCCGTTTCAATTTCATGTGTTTTTGTAGCTCCATATACATTATTATTGAAATTGTTACTTTGGAGAATATCAAAAAATGGAAAAAAAATGTTTTTGTATTCGAAGTGTACTATGACGTTTTAATAATAAATATTCGGAAAACGTTTCGTGTCAACATGGCCACCATCAACTTTTTTTTAGAAT